GGGTGTAGGGTGACCAGATGTCCTGATTTTATAGGGACAGTCCTGATTTTTGGGTCTTTTTCTTATATAGGTTCCTATTACCCCCCCACCCCCGTCCCAATTTTTCACACTTGCTGTCTGGTCACCCTAGACGGGTGTGGGGGGTAATAGGAACCTATATAAGAAAAAGACCCAAAAATCAGGACTGTCCCTATAAAATCAGGACATCTGGTCACCTTACCCTGTCCTGATTTTTCACACTTGCTACCTGGTCACCCTAATGCAGATTGTAGTCCAAGCTAGGAGTTTTCTCCTGATTTGCTTGAGGGCAGCAGATGGAATGTGATTGTCTCATAATTACTATGAGCTGAGATTTACCAGTGTTGAAGAGGTTGGAAAGGAACAACCAGAAAAACATCCCGGAGTCTGGATTTTGTAGTATAGAAATATCACTTGACATGTAAAATAACTACAATTGCCCCATGGTTTATTGATTATCACCTGTTACAGGACTGGCCCGTCGACAGTCTGATTATACTCTTGTTATGTCGCATTGAAGCAGTCTTCTTATGGAATCAAGATTAGTAGAAATGCTCCTTAATTCACTGGGCCAAGCTACCCTTTCTTTTGTGATTGTTGCTAAAGACGAGAAGATTGGATCTGTCTGAAATCCCCACAGCAGCTGTCATTCCTTCTGTGATGTGGAGCCCTGACAGCCAGCTCTCATGTTTTGCCTGTAGGTGGCAGAAGCTTTCTAATGCCTGCCCACAGAGTCATCCCAAACAGACCTATTATTACCCTGATGTGGGAAATGATAGTATAACGGAGCTGACAGATTGGAAAGGACAGGGGTGTAACGCAATGCTTTGTTTCAAGGCTGGTAGCCTATCTGAGTCACCAGTTAAAATAAAGCGATGCTTAATTTGACAGGGAGCTTTCAAAACAAGGACTCTCCTAGCAGCTGCAAAGGTCCCATTCTGTTTTCACAGCAGAGGGTCTTATCGATGGGGTTTCCCTTATAACACTGACTCAGTTACAAATAACGCATGGCATTCTGCTTCATGAATGTCCACTAATTAACAATTCCCTCCTGCCCATGCTGTATAGGGGTTAGGTATGTGTTATTATCCACACTTTGCAAGAAGTGAGAGTAAGGCAGAGAGGTTAAGTGACTTGCCCAAGGCCAGAGATGGAATCAATGTCACAGCTGAAACTAGAACTCAGGAGTTCCTGTTCCGCTACTTCTGTGCTTAGATAACTAAGGTATGCCTCTCTGTCAAAGATAGTGTTGTATAATCTATTGCACCTACAAGGCATCTTTCATCCCCAAATTCTTTGCAATCTTGAATTACTGCCGTCATCATTGAAATGCAACCAGCTCTGGGGTGGAATGCAGAAGCTGTTTAACAACTCACAGCAATGCTACATGACAGGCAGTGAAGAAGAATGTCATAACCAAGTGAAACTGCAGTGAGGATTTAGGAAGGCAGAATTTAATAATTCAGATATACTCAGGAGGACCCCCTTATTTTGAGTCAAGAGATTTTCAATGCTATACGCACATTGCATGTATGCTTTCACCTGGCACTGCGAGATGACACTGCAACCTGAGGGTCTTGACATTGCACCAAGACACCATCAAGTCATTGGGACAGCATGATGCACCAAGAAGAACTTTGCACCAAAAGGTGACATGCCACAATTGCACGGCAAAATGACAAGCCACAATGCAACATAACCACATTGAACTCTAGAGGCCATCCCCTACTTGTGGTCCATGATGAAACTGGGCCAAAATACACTAACATGGCATCCTAGCATGATGACTTGCCATAATGTGACATGACAACTTTGTGTTAAAACACAAGCAGTTAGTGTTGCAAACATTACAATGTCTTGCTGTGTTGCAACATGGCAGCACTGACCCACAGGGGCTGTCATGTAGTATTGTGACAAGCTGGTGTGGTCATGCAGATGGCATGATACCCTGCATAAACACTCTTGTCTTGGCATGACAACATGTCAGACTGACCAGTGATGCAATATAATGTCATCCCTTGTTGCCACATGGCCAAAAGACCACGGTTAGGTATCAAGATATCCTGATGTGACAAAGGGCCATTGCCTATCAATGCAACATGATGTAGTTTCTTGTCAGCACATGACAGCATCCACCAAATGTCCATGGTGTACTGTTGTGGTGTCAAGATGTGTTAAGCGCTTGCCTAGAGATGCAATATGGTTACGTTTCTCGTGGCAAAATGGTGCTGCGATCACAAGGATTTGACTTGGTCACGGAGGTCATGGTATCCGTGACAGTAACAGAGCTCTGTGACTTTTTTGGCTTCAGCTTCAGCCCCGCGCGTGGCGGGGCTCCGGCTGTCAGCCACGCACCGCGGGGCTTCGGCTCCAGTTCCGCGCTGCAAGGCTGGGGCTTCCGTGATTTATTGTTTATTACCCGCGTCCTGTCCCTGACTTTTACTAAAAATACCCATGACAAAATCTTAACCTTAGTCATGATGTGATCCAGTGAGGTCAGCACATGACTTGGTGACACGTTGCAAAGAGATAGCGCCAGGACACGACATGACACAGCAACATGGAGAGGTTTAGATGTGACATAGTGATTTGACCTACCATGGCAATGTGATAGATGAGGATATAATAGAAGAAGTGTTTTAGGTGAAATGGTATTTACTCCCTTTGTTTTAAACTGGTTGGGGTTACTGGGTCTCTGATTGCTCTTGGTGAACTCTGCAACTAGAGCAGTACAATATATGAAATCTCCTCTCTTTGACTTGCTGTACTTGGAGGGCCAATGACAGGCTACAGCAATACACCATTAAACTGTTGTTGTTTAACTTAACATACAATTTGGTCCAAAAATTATACACCAATCATGGGAATTTAGTACCTCCCACTATGAAATAAGGATTAGACGCTTACCAAATAGAAAATTCATTCGTATAAACCGCAAATCCCAGATCTCTCAACTCAGCTAGTGATACGGCGAGGTCAGGATGTAACACGCCAAGGCAACGTGACATCATGGCAATGTGGTGGTGAGGTCATGGCATGATATGATGGTTTCTCTAAAGGGAAATCATGTCTTACTAATCTATTAGAGTTCTTTGAAGGGGTCAACAAACATGTGGACAAGGGGGATCCAGTGGACATAATGTACTTAGATTTCCAGAAAGCCTTTGACAAGGTCCCTCACCAAAGGCTTGTATGTAAATTGAGTTGTCAAGGGATAAAAGGGAAGGTCCTTTCATGGATTGAGAACTGTTAAAAGACAGGGAACAAAGGGTAGGAATTAATGGTAAATTCTCAGAATGGAGAGGGGTAAGTAGTGGTGCTTCCCAAGGGTCAGTCCTAGGACCAATCCTATTCAACTTATTCATAAATGATCTGGAGAAAGGGGTAAAAAGTGAGCTGGCAAAGTTTGCAGATGATACTAAACTGCTCAAGATAGTTAAGACCAAAGCAGACTGTGAAGAACTTCAAAAAGATCTCACAAAACTAAGTGATTGGGCAACAAAATGGCAAATGAAATTTAATGTGGATAAATGTAAAATAATGCACATTGGAAAAAATAACCCCAACTATACATACAATATGATGGGAGCTAATTTAGCTACAACAAATCAGGAAAAAGATCTTGGAGTCATCGTGGATAGTTCTCTGAAGATGTCCACGCAGTGTGCAGAAGCGGACAAAAAAGCAAACAGGATGTTAGGAATCATTAAAAAGGGGATAGAGAATAAGACAGAGAATATAATATTGCCCTTATATAAATCGATGGTACGCCCACATCTTGAATACTGCGTACAGATGTGGTCTCCTCATCTCAAAAAAGATATACTGGCACTAGAAAAGGTTCAGAGAAGGGCAACTAAAATGATTAGGGGTTTGGAGAGGGTCCCATATGAGGAGAGATTAAAGAGGCTAGGACTTTTCAGCTTGGAAAAGAGGAAACTAAGGGGGGATATGATAGAGGTATATAAAATTATGAGTGATGTAGAGAAAGTGGATAAGGAAAAGTTATTTACTTATTCCCATAATACAAGAACTAGGGGTCACCAAATGAAATTAATAGGCAGCAGGTTTAAAACAAATAAAAGGAAGTTCTTCTTCACACAGCGCACAGTCAACTTGTGGAACTCCTTGCCTGAGGAGGTTGTGAAGGCTAGGACTATAACAGCGTTTAAAAGAGAACAGGATAGATTCATGGTGGTTAAGTCCATTAATGGCTATTAGCCAGGATGGGTAAGGAATGGCGTCCCTAGCCTTTGTTTGTTGGAGGGTGGTGATGGACAGCAGGAGAGAGATCACTTGATCATTACCTGTTAGGTTCACTCCCTCTGGGGCACCTGGCATTGGCCACTGTCGGTAGACAGGATACTGGGCTGGATGGACCTTTGGTCTGACCCGGTACGGCCTTTCTTATGTTCTTATGATGCAGTGAGGTCAGCACATCACTCAGTGACAGCGGGATAAGGTCAGGATGTATGGGGCTGGGACGATATGGAAAAGGCGGGACATGATATGTTCTGGCAACGCGGGGAGGTGAGAGGTGAGGTGCCACAACGAGGTCAGGACAGGTGGTGCCATGACCTGATGAGGTCAGGACATGCGGTGCTACGGGGACATGATGTGAGGATGAGGTCAGGACATGCGGTGCTACGGGGACATGATGTGAGGATGAGGTCAGGACATAAGACGCCATGGCAATGGGGTGAGGTCGAAGCACTGCGGCAACACAAATGAAGACATGACAAACCATGTTATGTTACCATGGCAACATCCCGGTATCACCGTGATGTGCCAGGCCCACCCCTTGACATCATACTGGAGGGGGTTATCATTGTTTTTGTGGCCTCCTCCACTGTCATGTGACCCATGGCGGCTTCCACTATAGCTTCGGCCCCCCCCCTCCGTGCGCATGCGCTCCAGCCAGCTCAAGAGGCGCCCAGCTCCCCGAGTTTAGGAATAACAGGCGGTGGCCGCAGCCCGGCCTCGCCCCCCCCCCCCCCCATCCACGCTGAGTGGTTCGGTCCGCAGCCGGCCGGGCGAGTCCAAGTCGGAGGGAGCGACCCAACCTCTCTAAGCCCGAATGGTGCGGTCCTGAGCCGCGGGCGGAGCGGGCGGCACCAAGTGAGGGGCCCCCGGGGGAGGGAGGAGCTGCCGGCGGCCAGTGGAGCAGGGAGAAGCTCCAAGATGGCGTCGGCCGGCCCCGAGTCTGGGGGCAGCAGCAGCAGCAGCGCCGGCATCGCGGGTAAGGGGGGCCCGGCGGGGGGGGAACGGGGGGGGTGGAGCGGGGGGGCTGTAACCTCCCCGAAGGGGCGGGGGAAGGGAGGCGGGACCCGCTGTGTGGAGACCTGGGGGGCGCTGGGGGCCGAGGCCCCTGTAGGGGTGGAGGTGGGGGTGGGGGAGCTGGGCGGGAGCTGAATCGCCCCCTCCCGCGCGGCTCTGCTCGCAGAGCCTGGGGGCCGAGGTGTGACCCCCCCTTTCTTGGGCGGGGGGTCGCCTCTGTAACGGGGGCTGGGGGTTGCGAGCACTTCGCTTGTGGGGCTCCGGCTGGGGATGCCCAGGGGTCTGGTGCTGAGGGCAGGTGCTGGGCGATGCGCGGCGAGGTGCTTCCAGCGTCCCCCGCGCTGCTCTGGGCTGGGGGGGTAGCCCGGCTGTGTGCAGAGACCGCTCGTCGGGTGCTTTGGGACCCTACGGGAGCCCGCCCGGTGCTGTGGGAGGGTAAATTCTCATCAGGCTTGTTTTAGGAAGAGGCTTCGTCCCTGGGAAGCCAAGGCAAAGATTCCCCATGTCCTTTCTCCGTGTACCAGGGTGTGAAGGGGTTTGTCACTGTTAAAACAGCAGTGACAAACCCCTTCGCACCCTGGAAGTCCTGGTCTCGTCTCTTTATTAACTCGAGCTGAACCAGGAATGGGGTTGACAGGAGCTCTGAATGCTATTGCTAAACCTGGTGATGGAGGCTTGTAATAGTAAAAATGGGGTTGTGGCAGCTAGCCACCCCTGGGAGACAAAGGGGCAGATACTTAGCACTCACACGCATCTCCATGTTGCATCTTCAGAGCACTTCACCGACACTAAAGCGATGGCTACACTGGCACTTTACAGCGCTGCAACTTTCTCCATCAGGGGTGTGGAAAAACACCCCCCTGAGCGCAGCAAGTTACAGCGCTGTAAAGCACCAGTGCAAACAGTGCCCCAGCGCTGGGAGCTAATCCCCTCGTGGAGGTGGAGTACCTGCAGTGCTGGGAGAGCTCTCTCCCAGCGCTGGCGCGCGACCACACTCGCCCTTCAAAGCGCTGCCGTGGGAGCGCGTTGGAGTTTCGAGTGTAGCCACGGCCTAATTCTTGCAGTATCACTGGGTGGGGTGTTACTGAGCACATGGGTCTCCTAATAACAAGCCAAACCAAACACCTCTCTGTAGCCTGTAGCTGTAGTGCAAGTTAACTTTTTAAAAAGGCCTTTAGTTTACATTCCAAACGATCACTCAACCCTTTGTGATCTGTTGACATATGTATCCTTTGTTGAGCATTTACTGCACAGGCTTTATAATCTTTCCACCTTCTCCTCTTCCTCTTGCCCATCGCTTATGGATTTGTCTGCACTAAACTACTTTGGGAAATCTCCTAGAGTGGTAGCAATGGTGGAAGCTCTAGTGTAGACAGGGCACTAACATCTTTGTCACAATGTCATCTAAAGCTGTTCTAAGCAGCATTAACAAAGCAGTAAAAATGCTGTCTACACTAGTGCTCCTACTGTTGCTGCCACTTTACCAAAAAAAAGTCTCAGGGTATGTCTTCACTAACAACATTAAAGTGCTGCTGCGGCAGCGCTTTAACGTGGCTGTGTAGCTGCGGCACCAGCGCTGGGGGAGAGCTCCCCCAGTGTTGTAATAAAACCACCCCCATGAGGGGAGTAGCTATCAGTGCTGTAGCACTGTCTGTACTGCCACTTTACATCGCTGAAACTTGCAGTGATGGGGGGGGGGGGGGGTGAAGTAAAGTTGCAGCACTGTAAAGTGGTAGTGTAGACAGGCACAGCCTTTGGGACAAGTGATGGCCATTAAGCCTTTGACTGTCCTGTAGTGTGGATTTTAAGATTTTCTATTCTTTGACTAACTAGCAAAAGCTGGCTTAGAGTAGTAATTGTCCCCTCTGTTTCAAATGACAATTGCCTTATCTCGTGATCTTATTGCTGTGCCACAGGAGGATGCAAACTCTGGTCCTGAATTCAGCAACCCTCTCCTCAAGGATTTAAGGGTATCTTGGTTCTCTCGCCAACAAACGCTTGCAGGCACCTCAGGAGCAGCATTGTCAGGCTCCAGAGGAAGCAGAATACAGCTTTCCTTAGGCAGAATGAGCACAGTAGTTGGATATTAAAAATGGCTTGGTAGCTTGGACGTGGAGAGTGCGCTTCCTCCCCACAGTACAACTAAAACCACTTAAAGACTTGGCATGGTTATTGGGGGCTATCCACATTCCAGAGTGGCACATGTTATTATTTACCCTCTGGCATATTACTCAATTACTGGCTTCTCTCTGCATACATAAAGGGGATGACTGTTTCTGAAACTTGTTCCACCCTTTCCTCCTTAAAGTCCAGTCATGCGGAGTTTCTCCCACCCTCTCTGCAGGACATGGAGATGTTGCCTCCTTGTTTGTTTTTTTTCTAACTATGTATGGAAACACCCAAGACTGGAGGATCACATCTTGTTGCTTTTACTTTGAAGTGGGACAACACCTGCCAAAAGTAGCAGTGTGAGACTTCAGATGCTTGGTTCTTTCTGTGTTCACTGCAGTAGCCACTCCATAGATAGAGTTCCAACTGAGTTTTCATTGTAACCTTGAGTTCGGGCCCCTCTCTCAACTCTCCAAACAAAGGACTATAGCCTCAGATCTAACCTAATTTTGAGAGTGGAGGTAGAATTTTTCTGACCGTTTTGAAGTTAATTGCACAAGGGGGTTCTGAATTATGGTAAACTCCGCAGCTGCTGCCTTCAGAGCTGGGCTCTCAAGGCAGAGCAGAAGTAAGTATGGCAATCTTGCAACCTCCCTACAACAGCTTTGGGATCCCCCCACGGTTACACCACCATGAAATTTCAGATATAAACACCTGAAATCGTGACATTGACTGATTTTAAGATCTGGTGGCCGTGAAATGGACCAAAGTGAACCATGAATTTGGGAGGACCCTAACTATTGGAGTCCTAAGCCTCCATTTTAAAAAGTCTCTTGCCCTTTTCCCCACAGAGCTAAACTTCAAAACCCAGGATGGATTGATTTAAATCACCAAGTGGAAAAGCTCAATTTAACTTACAAATGTTAAGGAACTTTTCCATTTGTACTTCAGTTATTTTCTTAAGAAGGGTAACAATTAAAACATGTTTCAGAGTAGCAGCCGTGTTAGTCTGTATCCGCAAAAAGAACAGGAGTACTTGTGGCACATTAGAGACTAACAAATTTATTAGAGCATAAGCTTTCGTGGGCTACAACCCACTTCTTCGGATGCATATTGAGTGAAACATATCGAGCATGCTGATTTACCACTAAATAGAGCCTTTACACTAGATTTGGTACATCTTTTTGCTACCTAGGAAGGTACGCTATAAATATATGCACTTATTTAAGCAGTCGTATATAGTTTGATGTTTTCAGAGTTTTATTAATTTTACATTTTTAACATTTTAGAAAAAGGTGAATGACATACTGCTTATTTACTAGATAATTAAACTTTTTGCTCGTGATTTGTGTCAAGCAGCATTAGGATGGTAACTGGAATTAAATTAAACTCACAAAACAACATATCAAATTTATTTTTATTTAAACAAGCCCTTAACGCAGCACATGATCTGTTGTGCCATATTTGTAAAGGTTGACCTCCAAAGTTAGATGTTTTTGCCCTGATTCTTTCTTCATATAAAAAAAGCAGTCTTTAACTCAAGTTTTGATAGGGGCTCATGGATTCAACATATATATATTTTTTTAGATAAATGTTTTAAGAGATTATAGGTTTTCGCCTTAATATGTATTAAATTCAGATTCGTTTTAAACATTCATATTTAAAAAGAAAAACATGGTTATATTTTATCTAAATTATAAAATCTGATTTTTTTTGCCCCCCTCCCCCCCAAATCAACTTGTATCCACCCTGTCAAAATCTAAAATGATCTGTAGTGGGTAGTCAACAATGTGAACATAAGAATGGCCATACTGGGTCAGACCAAAGGTCCATCTAGTCCAGTATCCTGTCCTCTGACTGGCCAATGCCAGGTGCCCCAGAGGGAATGAACAAAATAGGTAATCATGAAGTGTTCCATTCCCTGTCACCCATTCCCAGCTCCTGAATGCTCTTGTAAACTGCACACTGTTATCTCACCCTGGTCTAAACTTGCACTTTCACTTTTGCTACCATTTAATATAGCTACAATGGTGGGAAACTGAAGAAAAACCTAGCGCAGAAAAACTTCATGAGCTTATGTTTGCAATACACATGCTGGCATTGGCCAAATTGCCCTGTCCTTTAAGACAGAGAGGAGAGATGGTACCAGGTGATTTAAAAGAACAAAGTAGTGTGTTTGCTTTTCTAAGCAAAATACAAACAGGTCTGTCAAGCTGGAAGTTTCTTCTTTGGAAGTTTCTTTAGAAAGAAGAGCATGAAAATACAGGAAAAGTTTTATCACCTGGCATGGTGGGGGAATGGGGGGTGCTGGTTAGTCAAAAATTCCAGTTAACTAATGGAGGGAGGGGGTTGGGGCACGGGCTGTGTGTGCGCAGGGTGTGGACTCTGGGAGGAAGTATGGGTGTGGGAGGGGGCTCGGGGCAGGGCGTTGGGGTGCAGGAGTGATTTCAGGGTGCCGGATCTGGGCAGCGCTCAGCTTGGGTAGCTCCCCACAAGTGGCGACATGTCCCTGCTGTTCCTAGGTGGAGGCGCGGCCAGGAGGCTGTGTGTGCTGCCTCTGCCCGCAGACGCTGTCCCCGCAGCTCCCATTGGCTGCGGTTCCCAGCCAATGGGACCTGCGGAGCCAGCATGCGGGGCGGGGGCAATGCATGCAGCCCCTGTGGCCGTTCCTCTGCCTAGGAGCAGGAGGGACATGTCGCCACTTCCGGGGAGCCAGGTAGGGAGCCTGCCAGTCCCGTGCCAACCAGACTTTTAATGGAATATCAGAGATGCTGGTTTCTAGAGCTTTATGGTTGGTAAAATGCTGGATAACACAGCTTTTACTGTACGATGGTTTGTGGTGTTACGATAGCA